CACACACAACATGGAATTCAGTGAGGAACTTGTAGGGATCTTCGTTTTCAAGGCCTCTAAAGGTTGGGAGTAGATGGATAAGACTGGATTTTAGTTCAAGGTTTATGGCTGCCGTATAGGTGATACAAAGAGGTAGTTAAGTAACCTTTTGCCTCGCCCATTGGCGAAGGGTTTGTTCGGGCGAGTTAGGTGGACCACGATTATTGTTTTTGTTGTTATTATTACCTCTGTTTCTCCTTGGTCTCCCATGGTAGAAGTAGGAATTAAGGTTTCTATGTATATGAAGTTTGAAATATTGTGAGCGGGTGAAGAGAATGGAGTGGTATTTTTGGATGAGGATGGTTGAGGTGAGAGTGAGAGGGTTTCTGTTTCGGTTTCCGACACACTTGAGAGGGGTATGTCCTCCCAAATGTTAATGACCGGAGGGGTATATGATGAAGAAGTTTCGGAACCCGGTTGCCTCTTACGAAACTTGGCTTGCTTCCATAATCTCTTTGCAGTCTTCTCTATCTCCGTGTCAATCGGAAATGGTGTGCCTGTATGAAAAGATCTAGGCATAAACAATTATTAACATTGTGTCCCCGACAACGGCACCAATTTGTTAGGTTGTCAAACCCAACAAATGATAGGGTACAATATACTCCAAAAGAACACTGTTATATTGAACTAAAAGGTAGTACAGGGCAAGCAGGGCCGAACCACAGAGACACAGGACAATCAGTCTATGCCTCTTTGCGTAAGTTACTTTGGTCACCAAAAGTAAAAAGGGGGGTTTTGTAAACAATAATTCAAGTAAAAGCTTGAAGAAACAAGAAAAATGTTGACTAATTGAAATAAATTCAGAATTTATGAAAGACTCCAACTCTATGTATGACAATCTCGCAATGTGATTCAAAGATGACATGACATGCACTCAGTTCTACCTAAGTTGGTACTTGAAAGTGTTAACAAGCTCTAACACTTCCAATTCACCAAGACGTCAAATTCATAATAAGCTCTTTGAAAATAGCATAGCCTTCTAATTTAAGTCTAAACAAGCTCTTATATAGAAATCAAAAGGTTACAATAAGCTTTATGTGAATGTTCCCAACAACACTCAATACTCCTCACAAGCTCGAGAGCGTAAAAGTGTGTGAATAAGATTTACATTAAATTCATTCAATGGAAATCAGTTTAGCGCTTGTTACTTGGTCCAATTTACAAAACAATTATAGATTTTGCAATTAGATAACTAAAATGACTTAACCCTAATTCAAATGACCAATAAGAATTACAATTAAAATCAAACATTTGATTAAGACAAAATCAAATTCACTAGATAGAAATTGAAAGAAAACATCAAGTCATATGATTGAAATCACAACTAAAACGTCAAAACATGAAGTTGGAGAAACTAGGGTTCTAGCCACACATGGCTATAGAACAATCAACAAGTCTAGAAAAGATGAAATAATCCGCAAACAAGACTTACAAATCTAATGAAAAATGTTTCCAAACGATTACAATCGAAACCTTGCAAAAACCTTTGAAATCTCCTTGCCAAATGTGCTATGATATGAAGCGTGTCTGTCCCATGTCCCAAAATCCCGAGATAGGTTAAAAAAGAAAAACCGTCAAAAGGCAGTTTTTGGGTCGAACACGGCCCGTGTCAAAATAGAGTAAATCAACACGGATCTTCTTCCAAAGTAAGTTGCTCAAAAATGCAAAACTGGACCAACACGGCCCGTGACAAAATAGGCTAAATCAACATGGGTGGTGTTCAGCATGGTCAACGACTCCTTTTTGGTCAAACACGCCCTGTGCTCGTTTTTTATTGCAAATACAACACGACCCGTGCCCACATCTGCTTGTAAATGCAAACTTGATTTTTTTTTTCAATTTCTTTGTTTCGCATCAAATCATCCCGCCATCTTCACCCGTGCTTCCCGACACCTTCCCAAAACGCGTTTCCACCTTCGGATCACCTGAAAAGATCATAAAAACGTGCAAATAAGATTGTTATAGAAACTAACATGACTTATAATAAAATGCATATAAAATGAAGTAAACTACACTAAATGGATGCATAAAATGTGCACAAAATGCACCTAACGAAATTCTACCTAAATTATTTATTTATTTTTTTCAAATTAGTTTTTAAAAGCTTTCTTATACTTTTTTTCCGACTTTTATTACATCTCTTTTCTATAACATTTTTGAAATTGTTTAAGACTTTTTACAACATCTTTTAATATATATATATATATATATATATATATATATATATATATATATATATATTATAGCTTTTTGTATATTACTTATCACTTTTTTTTTAAAAATCTTCTTAAACTTTTTTTACAATATTTTAAACTTGTTTTTACTACTTTTTCTAAAATATTTTAAACTTTCATACAACCTTTTTTACATACTTTCTTTATAAAAAAAAAATTCTAAAAACAGTATAATAATATAAATATTTTTGTTTATCCTTTTTTTTCGATTAAATATGTTAAAACTTTAAGGTATAAACGAAAGCATATATATTGATATATTGTTTTTAGAAATATCTTCATTTAAAAAAATTAAATAAAGTATATATAAAATGAAAGTTTAAAAAAATTATAAAAGCACATTTAAAACGTTATAAAAATGCCCTTGTAAAAAGTGTACAAAAGCAATAAACGTAAACGTAGAGGTACCATTCAATGTTCAAATGTTTATAACAAAAATTTCGTGAATTGTAGTTTATTTTAGGGAAATAAAGGTTGGGCTCGATGCCGAAGAGTAAAAATGAATCCAGTCCACTTCTACTAGACCACCACCGATCAGCATGTCCTCGCATTCTATTACCGCTGCCACGGCAGCGGCGGCCGCCGTTAAGCAACTGTTATTTCATCCTTCATTCACCTTATCGCCGTTGCATTGCTACCGCCGCCAAATTTCCTCTTCCCTTCTCGCAGTCGCCAGTTATTCCACTACCTTATCTGCTTCTACTCGTAACAAGAAAAAGCTAAACAGAAAAGATAATTCCGTTACCGGTACTAGTCGTAGAGTTCTAATAGATTCTGTAGTGAAGAGGAGGACTCGGTCGGATAAAAAGTTTGATGAGGAGAGCTTTCGTCAATTTGGTGACACCGAGAGTCATATTCCGGTGATGCTAGGTGAGGTATTGGAGGTTTTTGATTCTCTCAAGCTTCAGACGTTTGTCGATTGTACCCTTGGAGCCGCCGGACATTCATCCGCCGTATGTGAATCTGATTCCCCCTTTCTCTATTTTTTATTACATGCTTGATTTTCGAATTCATTTTGTTGTTATTTGGTCAAGGATCCTTTGATAATGTGTAGCCCTGGAATTTGGAAAAGGGTTTTGTCGATTGTACTCGTGTCTTTTGGGTCTGATGTTAATTTCTTGTGCTGGAGCTAACAGATAATTCAGGCTCATCCCGAGATGCAGTCATATGTTGGACTGGATTTTGATCCTGTTGCCCATGAAAAAGCAAAAGCCAGGATTGATTCGATCCAAAGTTCCATGTCCCATGACTCGACTTCCAACCTAAAAACACATACCTTTTTGCGAAATTTCAAGAACATCAAGTCCACAATATCTGAGGTAGATGAGAAGCTTCTGACTTCAGGAATTGATGGGATCCTAATGGACTTGGGAATGTCATCCATGCAGGTATGTAAACTGTTAACCATTTCACACATGTAAAGATCCATGACCTTCAATATTAATGTTTTACAAGTATATATATGCAGGTGAACAATGCTAAAAGAGGATTTAGTGTGCTTTGTGATGGACCCCTTGATATGAGAATGGATCCCCAGGTGAGAATCAGAATTAGCATATGTAATTAATTAATTAATCATTGTCTATATATCTTGTTCGTTTAACTGATTAGAACAGGCATATTACTATTACTATTATAGGCAAGTTTGACAGCTGAAGACATACTAAATTTATGGCCAGAGGCTGAAGTGGGACGAATTTTACGTGATTATGGGGAAGAGAACAATTGGCGTGCACTTCAGAAGAGGATTGTTAAGGCCCGATTAACTGGTGGATTGCATTCTACTAGTGATCTAGTAGATCTTATAAGGAGTTGTACATCTGGTGGAAAAGGTGAGTTCAATTGTTACAATCTGTTTGGTGTGATGGAATGGAATCAAACAGGAATGAGAATGAGTAATGTATTTGTATTTGTTACAGGAGGGAGGCAAGGTTGGATAAAGACAGCAACAAGAGTGTTCCAGGCTTTAAGAATTGCTGTTAATGATGAACTCAAGACACTCGAGGCTTCGTTATATGATTGTTTCAGGTGTCTTGCACCCGGTGGGAGGCTTGCTGTTATATCTTTTCACAGTCTGGAGGACAGAATCGTAAAACAAACATTTCTCGATATCATCAAAAGCAATTCAGTTGATGGA